GCGGGGAGCCTGCTTCTCCCTCTCCCACTCCCCCTGCTTGTGTTCCCTCTCTCGCTGTCTCTCTTGCTGTCAAAAAAGAAATGAAAATCTTAAAAAAAAAAAAAAAAAGATTTTATTTATTTGTTTGAGAGAGAATGTTGGGGGAAAGAGCAGAGGGAGAGGGAGAGGCAGACTCCCCCCTGAGCAGAGAGCCTGACACAGGGCTCCATCCCAGAGCCCTGAGATCATCACCTGAGCCGAAGGCAGACGCTTAACTGACTGAGCCACCCAGGTGCCCCAAAAATGGTCAAGTCTAAAAACATACTACACCAAAGAGAAAAGTCAGATGGCATGCACACACAAACACACACAATCTCATTAGTAATCAGGAAATTATATATTAAAACTACAATGATATCTCTTTATACCCCAGCATAATGCCTAAATCAGGGAAACTAACAATACCAAGTGTTGGCAAAGATGTGGAGTAATTGGAACCAGGATTAAGTGGGAGTAAAAATGGATACAACTACTTTAGAAAACAGTTTAGAATTATCTAATAAATTTACAGAACCACATATCTTTTGACCCAGAAATTCACTCTTAAGTATATAGTTTATGGGAAAACAAATACACATAGCAGCAGTATTTGTAATAGCCCCAACCTAGAAACCCAACAAATGTCAGTTAATAGTAGAATGGGTAAGGGTGCCTAGGTGGTTCAGTGGGTTAAGCATCTGACTCTTGGTTTCAGTTCAGAAAATGATCTCTGGGTCAAGGGATCAAGCCCCGCATAGGGCTCAGCAGTCAGTGCACAGTCTGCTTGTCTCTCTCCCTCTTTTCCTCCCCCTGCTCATATTCTCTCTCCTCCTCTCTCTCTCAAATAAATAAATAAAATCTTTAAATAAATAAATAGAAGACCATAGTGCGTATATATACCTATGCCTCCAGGAAGCCAGACACAAGCCTCCAGACCAGACACTAGAAGGCAGAAGCATCCAACACACATGATCTCAGATAACAACCCCCCACAGCTCAAGCTGAACTTAGACACCTGGGTATTTCCCCTGAGGGGCTGCACTGTTCCTGGAGGTACTGCAATACCAGGTCGATACGTGGAGTGGACAATTTCCTATTCCATCTCCCTGCTCCAAAAATCCATTTAATATATTGTCCTCAGAGGACGTATCATATATTAAACTGAAAAGAGCAAATACTACACTTGATCTTAGCCAAAAGGCCGAGAAGTGATTGCTTAATTTTTTTTTGTTTTAAAATAATTATAAATTCACAGGAAATTACAAAAATAGTACAGAGTGTTCCCATGACCCCTTCATCCAGTTTCTCCAAATCATTACACCTCTTGTAACTATACTACAATATCAAAATCGGGCATTGATATTGGTACAATGGGTGTGTATATTTCCATGCTCTTTTTATCTCATACAAAGATTCTTGATACACTTCAATGAAGACCCAGAACTATTCCATCACACAAATATCTCCCTGTGCCACTTCTTTATAGTCACACCCACTCCTTTCTCCCACCCCCACAAGCCTAACCCCTGGCAACTACTAATCTGTCCTCCATCTCTGTAATTTTTTCACTTGAAGAATGTTACACAAATGGAATCATAGAATATGGGACCCATTGAAATTGTCTTTTTTTTACTCAGCATAAGTCCCTAGAGATCCAAGCTGTTGCATGTATTTATAGTTTGTTCCTTTTTGTTGCTGAGTAGTTTCCCATTGTATGAACGTACCACAGTTTGGTTTTTGTGTGAACTCTAGTCATTTCTCTGGGACAAATGCCCAGGAGCATGAATGGCATGTCAAAAACAAAAGCTTAGTATCCCTGATATAAAAAGAGCTTCCAATAGTAGAGAACAAAAAGTCATGTTGTATGTATGTTTCGTTTTTTAATAAACTTCCAAACTCTTCTGGTGTGGCTTTACCATTTTATATTTCTACCAGCAATTTATAAGACATCTAGGTTTTCCATATTCTTGCCAGTGTTTGGTATTTTCACTTTTTAAAATTTTAGCTGTTTTATTAAGTATGTAATAATGTGTTATCAAAAGTTGGGACTTTTAATAACTAAAGGGAATCAATGTCTAATACCAGGATACATTCCAAATGGATTAGTATTTAAATATAAGAGATGAAATCAGTCCTGGAAGAGAACACTGGTGAATTCCCAGGTCCTGGCAACCATTGATCTGATTTCTGTTACTATAGTTTTGCCTTTTCCAGTTTACCATATAAATGGAATCATATAGTATGAAGCCAATTGATGGGCTCAAATTTGAGTTGTTTTTAATTTTAATATTATGAATAAAGCAGCTGTAAACATTAACATACAGGTACTTGTGTGGACATATGTTTTCATTTTGAGGTGGGGGTAGATACCAAAAAAGGGTAGTATGGTAATTGTATGTTTAACTTCAGGAGAAACTGCCAACCTGTTTTCTAGATATGCTATTTTGCATTCCCACCAGCAATATCTGAGGGTTTCAGTTGCTCTAAATCCTTATTAGGACTTAATATGAATATGGACAGTCTTTTTCATTTTAACCATTTTAGTAGTTATGTAGTGTTGTTGTTTTAATTTACATTTCTGTAATGACTAATAACTTTGAATATGTTTTCATGTGCTAATTTGCCATCAGTATGTGATGAAGTGTTCAAATCTTTTTGTTGTTGTTCATTTAAAAAATTGGGTTGTCTCACTATTACTAGGTTTTAATGGGTTTTTTTAATACTATGCATATAACTCCTTTTTTATATATGTATCTTTTGAATATTTTCTCTTGGTTTCTAACTCATACCATCGTTTTATGAGGGATACTTTCAAATGTCAGGACTTTTAAACTTTAAGGATGTCCAGTCTGTCATTTCTTTTCACGATTCATGCTTTTTGCATCTTAGCTAAGAAACATTTGCCTAACCCAAGGTCACAAAGATTTTGTCTGATGTCTTCTCCTAAAAGTGTTGTGTTTTTTTTTTAAGGTTTTATTTTTTTAAGTAATTTCTGCACCCAATGTGGGGCTCAAACCTACAACCCTGAGATCAAGAGTCACGTGCTTCACCAACTGAGCCAGCCAGGTGCCCCCTCTTAAAGTATTAAGTTTTAGCTCTTAAGCCTCTGATCCATTTTGAGTTAATTGTTTATATGGTGTGAGGTAACAGTCAAAATTCGTTTTAATGTGGAAGTATAATTGTCTCATCACCATTTGTTGAAAAAACTATTCTTTCCTTGTTGAATTATCTTGGCAACATTGTTGAAACTCAGTTGATCTAGGATGCCTGGGTGGCTCAGTCAGTTAAGCGTCTGCCTTCAGTCAGATCATGATCCAGGGGTCCTGGGATCTAGTCCCATGTTGGGCTCCTTGCTCAGCAGGGAGCCTGCTTCTCCCTCTGCCTGTCGCTCCCCCTGCTTGTGCTCTCTCTCTCTGACAAATAAATCTTTTTTTCTTTTTTTTCAGAGAAAGAAACTCAGTTGATCTATTTCTGGACACCATTGTGCTCCATTGAGCTACGTGTCTATCCTTACAGGATTACCAGACTGTCTTGGTTATTGTAGCCTTATAATAACTCTTGAAATTAGATAGCGTGAGTCCCCAAATTTGTTCTCCTTTTTGAAAATCATTTTGCTCTTTGAGATCCTTGACAGAGAGAGCACAAGCAGGTGGAGAGGCAGAGGGAGAGGGAGAAACAGACTCCCTGCTGAGCTGGGAGCCTGACATGGGGCTCAATCCCAGGACCTGGAGATCATGACCTGAGCTGAATGCAGACACTTCACCATCTGAGTCACCCAGGAGCCCTGGATGTTGAATTTTGTTAAATAATTGTTCTGTGTCTATTGGATGATCATATGGTTTTTCTTTTTTAGTCTTTGATATGGTTAACTCAATTGATTTGTTTTTGCATATTGAGTCAACCTTGCTCTCTTTTGGTAAACTCCAATTGGAAAATTTAAATTTTCCTAAAAATTATTTTTGTTCTGTAAATTATATATTATTCTTCTAAAGATTGCTGGATTATATTAATACTTTGTTAGGGTTTTTCTTTGAGTAAACTCTACCCACAATGTGGGGCTCAAACTCATGGCCCTGAGATTAGGGGTCATGTGCTCTATCACTGAGCCAGCCAGGCACCCCATTGTTAGGGACTTTTTAATCTATTTTTATGGGATATGAAGTTTTCTCTCTTGTAATGTTTTTATCTGCTTTTGATGTCAAGGTAATGCTGGTCCCACAAAATGATTTGGGAAATATTTCTTTATCTTGTATTTTTGCTAAAGTATACATAGAACTAATATCATGTTTTCCTTAAATGTTAGGCAGAGTTCCTCATTGAAGCCCTCCAAATCTAGAATTTCTTTTGTGTGTGTGTGTGTGTGTGTGTGAAGTTTTTAAGTACAAAATCAATTTCTTCAAGATATGTGACTCTTCGGGTAGTTTATTTCTACTTGAGTGAGCTTTGGTAATTTGTGTTTTTTGAGGAATTTGTCCCATTCACAAAGTTTTCAAAGTTTCACATAAGGTTGTTCCAAGTGGAAAGAGAATTTCTGTTCTTCTAAGAGACAAGCTAATGTAAAGTGCCTTTTTTTGTCATAACATTTTAGGTTGGCATGGAGATTAAAGGTTTGTTAAGTTGTATTGTCAAAAATGTGTTGTCAATATATCCTCATGCATTGCTGACTGGACTTTAAATTCATCTGTATGGAAATCAATTTGAAAACATATAACAAAATTACAATGCACGGACCCTTTGGCCCAGAAATTCTACTCATAGGTAATAATGCATTCTTGTAGGTAATAGCACACTTATATGAAATATGCATATGCACCAAGATATTTACTGTGGCATTATTTACAATAGCAAAATTGATGGAAATAATCTAAAAATTCATTAGTGGTATGGTTATATAGCAGAATGCTCAGTACATATTTATAAAAATGATGGATCAATGCATATACTACTATGGAAAGATCTACAGGATCTTTCTTAAAAATCAAACAGAACTAGGGGCGCCTGGGTGGCTCAGATGGTTAGGCATCTGCCTTTGGCTCGGGTCATGATCCCAGGGTCCTGGGATCGAGTCCCGCATCAGGCTCCCTGCTCCGCGGGGAGCCTGCTTCTCCCTCTGCCTCTGCCTCTCTCTCTCTCTCTCTCTGACTTTCATGAATAAATAAATAAAACATTTAAAAAAAAATTTAAAAAAAAATCAAACAGAACTAGACACTGGAAGATAGTTTGAATGGTATGCTATAAGTTGTAAGGGAAAAACAATGTGTATAATTACGTATGTAAACATCCGTAATTCTTCCAGATACCAGACATATCTGGAAGAATACATAAGAAACTGTTAATAGTTGCTTCATCGAGGTATAATTTTGTTTTAGTCCCTTTGGGCTGCTATAAGAAAACCACCATAGACTGAGTGGCTAAGAAAGAACAGAAATTTTTTTCTCACTTTTCTGGAGGCTCAGAAGTCCAAGATCAAGGGGCCAGCAGATTCAGTGTCTGGTGAGGTCAGAAAGGATGAAGAGAGCTCTCTGGATCCTCTTTTATAAGAGCATTAATCCTATTCATGAGGACTCTGCTTACATATGAATGGGGGGGACACAAACATTCAATCTATAGCAAATTTGCATACCATTTAAACTATACAATTCAATGATTTTTTGTAAATTGATAAAGTTGTACAACGGTCCTCATAATCCAGTTTTAGAACATTCTATCACACCAGAATAATCCCTCATGCCCATTTGAAGTCACCCTGTTCCCACATCCCAGCCCTAGGCAACCACTAATATACTTTATATTTCTATAGATTTGCCTTTTCTGGACATTTCATATGAATGAAACTATACAGCATGTGTTATGCATCTAGGTTCTTTGAGATTTATCCATTTTGTAGCCTGTATCGGTTGTTTGTTCCTTTATACTGCTGACAGTGATCCGTTATATAGATACAACTACCACATTATGGTTATCTCTATGCTAGTTGATAGACATTTGGATTGTTTCCAATTTAAACTATTATGAATAATGCTGCTATGAACATTTGTGTACAAGTCTTTGTTTGCACTTGTTCTCATTTTCTTGGATAGACATCTAGGAGTGGAATTGCTGGGTTTTATTGTAAATTTATGTTTAATTTCTAAGAGACTGCCATAGTAGCTGTACCATGTATATACCCACCAGCAGCATATGAGGGTCCTATTTCTCCATATCGTTTCCAAC